CTCGCTGAAGAAATACAGGATCAAACAAAATCGATTCCAAGCACATGATCGCTCGAATAATCCTCTGAAAATCCAGAAACGTGAATTATAGCTTTCCCAGATGGCTAAACCGAACTACGAATTGCAGCGTTGTCACATACCCAAGTAGATAAAACAAATTAAAAAAGATCTAGTATGCTTTTCAGCGCCCACTGGGGAAAATGCCGATGCAGTCTTCCTCCAAAGATGCCTTCAGAAGCAGACTGATAGAGGTTTTGCCCTTTAAAAAACGCCACAGTTGTGAAAACGTTTCATAAAATCATAGTGGAATTAATAAATCCAATCTCCGAGTAACCCAAGTAAAATTTCACGTCCCCATACGCGTGGAAAAATTTCACGTACCCTTATGTGAAACCTAGACAGGCCGGGAAGCCGAAACTACGTCTGCGAGGTCATACGCGGACAAGAGACAGTGCTCTAAAATTTCAGATTCCTAGTCTTTCAGGTTTCCGAATTGATAGTTTTCGCGTCAAAACTTTCATTTCTCCGTGCGCGAAACCCAAGCCCAAGTAAAAGTTGAATTTAACTTTGCAGGGTCACATGCAGGAAATGAACATCCTCCTAAAAAATCAGCTTCCTACCTTCTGTGTTTTTTCCGAAGTATTAATTGAAGTGGCAAGATTTTCACGTGACTATACGTGTAGCCTAAACGTACGCTAACGTTGAATTTGAGTTTGCGAGATCACATGTGGATAAGAGGTCCCCCATAAACTTTCAGCTTCCTAGTTCCTCCAGGGGTTTTTCCTGATAAAATGTACTCAAAACACACACAAACACACACACACACACACACACACACACACATACCCACACAGGGCCTCAACAACATGCGTTTGGTGCAATTGTTGCACCAAAAAAATCGAATAAAAATTAAAGGCAGCATTTAACTTAGGAAAAAAAAAGAGGGAAAGCTTCACGAAAAAACGTTGGTAAGGAAACTTAGTAAGGAAGCTCAGGCAGAAACTCTAAGTGGAATAGCAGAACCTCCAAACCGTATCAGGAGGTTAATTGTCATGTGATGAAGTTTTTCGACCACAGCTACTAAAAAAAGACGGATGTTGTGTGAATGATGCAAAGGTGTATCATGGTAAAAGCTGTAGTTGTTCAAACAAAAGCAAATCAAAGTGGGTTACCGTGCGAAAAACTTTTGTTTGCTCCAATTTTGCTTCAATCATTGCTTTCTCGCGTACTTGCATTGCCAGTAAACGACGTAGCTGAGCGTATAGCTGATTTAGACCATGATTAATATCA